ACATATTTTATTCCCAGTTTCTGAGTTTATACTATATAACAGAAGCAAAAACCTGCTACAAGAATGCATGTTATAAATAATAGCATTTATTTATATTTTATACACCTAAGCCTGAATGTATGTAATATGGACAATGTAAAAATATTTGTATTACATAACGTTATAGAGATGTTATGAATCAAGTCCATTTCTCTGTCTGTAATTATTCTATAATTTTCAATAAACTTTTTGTCCATGCTTTTTGATGTGGTAGGTACCAGAAGAGTATGTACACTATTCTAACTGAATGCATAACAATACCTCAAAAATTATTGAACTTATTATGCAATAAATTCTCATGAACTGGAGCCTACTTGATCAGTTGGTATAAGGTAGCATTATATATTGAAAGATGATATATTGGTTAGATCCAGTATTTCTGCAAATGAGAAGACCTATTTATGTGTGGTTTTTGAACCAATACAGGGATTTCTCTGGAAAATATGGATTTGCAATTTCCACTTCTTATGTTGTTCCAAAATGTTCCATCCAGCAGAGCATAATCTTTCAGGAAAGAAAGGGTTTAAGCAGGTAGAGAACAATCAGGTAGCTTTGCTTCCAATGGGTTGAACAAAGACTGAGTATGCATCAGTATGGGAGAATGAACTAAGCAGGCATGCATATGCATCAGTGAATGCAATGGAAAAGAAGTTTGAAACTAAGTAATGTTCTGTTCTAGTACCACACAATCTAATAAATCTAAACTTACATTTGCACATATGAATGGCTAGTTTTTAAAGACCTGTTGTCTGACTTAAAAAAAGTAACAAATTTTGATCAATTAAACCATGAAATTTGCACATAGATAAAGAAACAGTTCTGAAGTAACAAGTACTGTCTCCTTATACCTAGAGGATGGAGATATATTTATTAAATGAAATAAAAAGTGCATGAACCAATTGTAACTATGTACTGCTAGCTATTTTAAAGTCTTCCATACCACCTGACTCATCAGGGATACTTTTACAGCAGATTAGAAATTTTTAATCCATTATTAATCCAACTTGGAAAATACTAGTTTTATCAAAACAAAACTTAATGAAAGTAAGAATTAGCTAATGGTATTTGTATACTATATAATTTGAATTTATGAAATACTAAGACATTTGGAACTCAGGAAGTATGTCCCAGCCAAGGGACCATGTTCTTTCAAAGTACTAAATGTAAAATGTGAAATGCTTTATCATGATCTTCTATAATTTGGTGGCGTGAATCTCAGTTTTAACAAATGTCTTCTAACATAACTATGCTAACACTTATATATAAGGTAGCAAAATATTCTCATTTTCACACAATTACATTGTCATGGTTACACTTGTTGCTCTTGTATAGTTTTAGATTACACTTTTCCCCTAGGAACTCAAGACAACATACATAATACTTTCTCTTCTTTCCCAAGGTTGAAGGTTAATGACTGTCTCAAGAAAACTCAGTTAACTTCCATAGGTGAGGATGAATGTGAATTGGGTCTTCCTGATTCTAGTCCAGCTTCCTTACTTTTACATCAGATCTATATTATCTGGTATTCACTTGATATACTTAAAAGAAAAAGCCAAACAATTTCAAAAAGGCTCAAGCAAGTAAGAAATGTTTTTTAAAAAAATACAGAAAAATATTTTTAACTTCATCTACTCAGTGTCAGGTAGCATAAAACAAAATAAAATGACCAGAATACATATTCACATGTCTTTAGACGTTGATGTATCAAACTTGAGCAAGCACAGAGAAAGATGCTAGTACTCCTGAAGGAAGACAGCACAGTGGAAAATGTATTGGTATACAAATTCAGGAAAAGACACCATGAATTTGCTTTAACACTTACTAGATTTACCTGCTAGATGTGTGTTTATTATTTAAGGTACAGAAAGGAACAGAAATGTATTTTATTTTATTTACATATTTATTTTAGAGCCAGTTTGATCTAGTGTTTAAGTGGCTAGGCTAGAAAGTGGAGACTTGAATTCCCACCTTAGACATGAATGCCAGGTGAGTGACTATGGGAAATCATTCTCTCTCAGCCCAACCCACCTACAGGGTTGTTGTGGGCAAAGTAGGAGGACAAAGGTTTGATGACATATTTGCTGCCTTGAGCTATTTGTAAAAAAAATAACGAAGGTGGGATACCAATAAATAAAAATAATACATTTATTTTTATATAACCCTTTAATTAATAATTTACAGAAAGGTTAACAATCGCAATAGCATTAAACACAATAAAATACAATCCTAACAATCCCAGCAAGTGACTGGGAGAGGAGAGGCTAAAAATTACAGGTAATCCTCAACTTATGACTGGTTACTTAGCGATAATTTGAAGTTACAACAGGCCCTTCCAGACCTGATTTTGAAGTTACAAAGGCTACACACACACACACCAGGATCACCTGATGGCCTTTTGAGTGCTTGGCAATTGGCTCACCTTTACAGCTATTTGCAGTGTCCCGAAGTGACTTTTTGACATGTTTTGCCAGTTTCCAGTGTTTGCTTCTGTTTCTGGCAAAATATGGGCAAAATGGATTTGCTTGACAACCACGGCATTTGCTTAATAATCATTGCATTTGCTTAACCATGGTGTTCACTTAAGAACCGCTGCAAAAAATGCCAAAAAGTTGGGTTCGATCACATAATGTCTTGACTTATGATGGCAATGATTACTACCATAATTCCAGACTCAATTTTGGTCATAAGTCCAGTAGCTGTACAAAAAGATCTTTTCCAGAATAAGTGAAACATCATAGCAAGAACAATTTGCCCTCCAAAGCCACCAGATTTAGACTAAATGGCCTGAGGAATATCACAATATGTGGGTAGATTGAGGAGAAAACTTCAGAATCCCATGATATGCAGGGTATTTAAAAGGAAACAGTTTGAATTATGCCAGAAATGAAGCAGAAACCAATGATGCTCTTTAACCACGATGAGAAATGTTTCCATGAATGATCCCAGTTAATAGCCTATTAAGTGCAACTTCCAGATAGTTTTCATTAATAGATCTGTTTACAGCATATTGGTCTTGAGAGAACCAAAATGTAGTTATCCAAAACCATGCCTTTTCTGCTAGTTTTAAACAAGTATTAATTGGTGTTAAATCAGTATAATGGTATGTGGGAATGACTTTGGGAAGCCAGGCAAGAAGATGTTGCTGGAGAACAGTCAGATAAGAGGGAGCATAGCCCACAGCTGCACAGTAAGAGGCTCTGGAGGGATGCTCCCTAAATTATTGGGATGCAAAGGTGACAGCGAGAAAATTGTACTTTCAGATTTGGATGTTTCTGGAAACTAACCAAAGAGAGAAGCAACCTAGAACTAAGGAGAAACTTCCTGACAGTTAGAACAATTAACCAGTGGAACAACCTGCCTCCAGAAGCGGAGAATGCGCCAACACTGGAAGTTTTTAAGAAGAAACTGGACAGCCATTTGTCCGAAATGGTATAGGGTTTCCTGCCTGAGCAGGAGGTTGGACTAGATGACCTCCGAAGTCCCTTCCAACTTTATCATTATCATTATCATTATTATTATTATTATTATTATTATTATTAATTTATTAATTTATTTATTTATTTATTTTCCTGCCTAGTCTATCTAGTAAGGCTGACTGTCAGTTTCTAAGTAATACAGCTTTCAGCTATAAGTCTGATATTTTAGGAGTGCAACTCCTTTTAAAAGTATGTCATCTTCATCCCATTACTGTTTAATATAGGGATGGACAGTGGGTATCCATCCAGATGTCAAAGAATTCCAATTGTTATTAATTTAAGTTAGCAACTTTAGTGCAGGTAGTCCATGACTTACAACCACAATTGAGTCCAACATTTCTATTGCTAAGCAAGATATTTGTTAAGTAAATTTTGTCCCATTTTCTGTCATGGTTGTTAAGTGAATCACTTTTATTTTTTATTATTTAAATATTTTGCTTCTAAACAGAAGTGTTGCTGACTACTAATTCTTGGTTTTTCTCAATGAGGTTTACCCCTTTGACTATACGTGCAGCAGATAAAGAGAAAAAAAATCATTATTTTATTTATTTGAAATATTTATAGTCCACCACTATAGCTTACCACACAAGCTTTGTGGCAGGTTATAATCTATAAAATAATTTAGTAAATCCAGGTAAATTATATAGTTTAAAACACATCATAACAATCACAGTAACACTGACAAAAAGGCACTTGAGGAAGAAAAGACACAGTCTGGCTATGAATATTAAATGTGAGAGTAAAAAGTCAGATTGACATCTAGCACTGAAAGGCAGATATAACTCCAGCTTGCCTTCCATGCGATTAGAATCTCAAATTTGGGCTTCCAGAATAGAGAAGGATCTCTCCTATGCATGTCCCTATAAAATGCCTCTCCCAGCTATGAAATAGTAGGGCAGCATCTTCCTCCTCTTCCTCCTCCTCTGCAAATCAACTGTAATACAGTTCTAGCCCTTACTATTTGCAAAAACAAATAAAAAACCTAAGAACATACAATGATATTACATTGGGCTAGTCAATTCTACATAACTATATGAATCTTTAAAAATGACATGTTCTGTAGTACAGTTTGAAATATTTATAAGAAAATGGAATTACATAGCATAAATACATCAATTTCATATGCTATATTTATTAATTTTTGGAAGCTTTCTTCCAAAAAAGAGAGCCAGCCAAATGAAAATTCTCATCATGCAACCTGAATATTTACTTGAATTCAATTCCTTTAGTTTGATGAGAGGCAGGAAAAAAAGTAGAGGCACAGGATGGTCAAATTCAACTGCAAAAGCAAATTCTATTTTCTCTGTGGGGAGAATTTAGCTATTTGGGATATCAAGGAAGACAGAGGCTGTCAGGCCCCAAAGTAATGTATCCTCAGCTATTTTAGCTATGTAGCTTTCTTTGTTGCCTGCCATTCTGTTGGGAGGGGGGAGCCTTTGGGGATGCTTTGCACTGTCTGCTTTGTTGCCTTGTTGCCCTTCCCCCAGAGGATGGAATGTCTCAACCCTTATCTGAGAGACGGTTTGTGCTTGGAGCCAGAAGAAATTGAAAGTGAGACCTTGAAGAGCCCTCCGAAAAGACCAGTTACCAAAACACGATGCCACCTGTGGATTGGCTGGGATTCAAATGAACTCTGGGGGGAGGAGTACTGAATGCTACTTTTAATATATCGCTTCGCGGGTTTTTCTCTCAGATCTCGCCTTGATTCCCTGCTTTCACTAGCTCCTAATAAAAGTTTCCTTTTGAGACAATGCTTGTTTCAAGAGTTGTGCTTTCTTGGGTGGCTTAGCTAAGGTAGGTCCTTACATAAGGCGAGATCTGCACAGTCCCAACCCAGAGAGGCAGCTGCCCTACCAAGGTGGGTCCCAACCGACATGCCCCTTCCTACCAGCGATATGGACGAGGGTGCACTGAAGAGCTGGAGCGGAGATATCGTCCTGGCAGACCCCAGGGAAGGAGCTTCCAGGGATCTGGGAGTGGCACAACCAGTACGAGCCAGATGGTCCCTCGGGATTGGAACGAAAGAGGACTGGGAAGGAAAGGCTCTGAAAGTAACTCTCATACGAGGTGGAGGAAAGAAGAAGGTAAAGAAGAAAGCTCCAGAGGTGGCCCCTCCTGAAAGGGGACTGGTGGATCCAAATTCTGAGATGATGAAAGCCATCTTAAAGCACACCATGGAATACGTGTGAGAATCCTTTGAGGAACTGAAAGCCCAGCTGAAAGAGCCATCGGAATCGGAGAGAGAAGTAGAGGAGGAAGCGGAGGAAGAAGAGTTGGAAATGCCTGAGGTGATGGCGGCGTTGGCAACCCCCCCTGCAGCAGCAGCACAACAGGCCAGACCGTCCCAAAGACCCAGAGCAGCCATACCCCAACCAGCAGAGGTGAAGCTAATTCCACTAGGGGTGAAATTCAACGAAAATCCCAAAAGATTGGGGTTCTTCTTAGCCCAAATGTTCACATACATGCAGAAATATGGAAGAACACTGCCTACAAATGGAGAGAAAGTCAGAGTGGTAACCCTCGCACTGGAAGATGCAGCAGCCGACCAGATGGTGACCCTCTACAACTGCAACACTCCAGAGCTGAGAAATTTCAACTGCTTCATGGCAGCCCTCCGATGTCATTTGGCAGACAAGAAAGCTCGTGAGCACCTGAAGACGGCCAAGCAAGGGCATCGACCAGTAGCTGAATACACTGAGGAATTCTGGGAGTTGGCCAGCCATCTAAACTGGCCAGAAGACATCCTGGTGAGCTGCTTCCAGGATGGCCTAAATGAAGACCTGTACAATGCCTGTGTGCCCGCGGGACTCCAAGGCAATTGTATGATTGGTGCCTCTTAGCAGAAGAGGTGGAAATAGATCAATGCAAGCATCAACAACACCCAGTGAAACCCACTTTCAAACCAACAACGGAGAAGAGAGCTGAGACCACCCGGTCATCACCAACCACACCCTGATCCATTGCATGCTTCAAGTGTGGGAAAGAGGGGCACCGAGCAATCGAATACCGCAGCAAGGTATCAGTAAAGAGAGGGGACCGGCAACCTACCAGCAGACCTACGAAAGCTACACCACGCCTCAGAGAGCCGGCAATGGCATCCGAGACCGTGGATCTCCCCCGAGCCCGGAGGTCTGAGGGTCGAGTTTCGCCTTCTGCAAACAATAACTCCGAGGCAGCCGAGAGTGACTATGAGAATGACCACTTGGTAAGTGACCCAATTGACCCCATTACCATGCCCCTAGAACTGTCCATACTGGTACCAGGAAGAGAGTAAAACTAGCAGCTTTACCGGACTCAGACTGCACCTGCTGCATGGTCAGCCCAGAATTAGTGGAGAAGATGGGAATACCCCTCAGGAGATTAAAGACCCCAATCACTTTCTGCCAGCTTGATGGGTCCGTCGCAGTGGGAGTCCCTGCCTGTTTTGCTACCAGAGCCTTGCACATCACCATGGGAGACCACTCAGAAACGTTAGCATTTGTTGTGGCTCCTAGTATGGAGTGTCCATTAGTATTAGGCTTGGCGTGGCTAAAGAAATGGAACTTCATAGTGGATTGGAGAGAGGGGCGTTTGAAATTCCTGAAGGAGGGAGCCCCTCTCTTATCCAAAAGAAAAGGCGGGAGGCATGGACTACGTCACGAATTAGACCTGGCCCAGTGAACAGAAGTCGGATGAGCTTCTGCCCCATCGACTCACAGACTATGCCATTGAAATTATCCCAGGGGCGAAGCTTCCCAAACCAAAGATGTACTCCATGATCCCAAGAGAACTTAATGAACTTCATAAGTTTATTGAAAAGAACTTAGCGTGGGGTTTCATCCAGCCTGAAAAACCCCGGGTGGCAGCCCCCGTGCTATTCAGAGAAAAGAAGGACGGGTCGCTTCGTCTCTGCGTAGATTATAGAGGCCTGAACGCTGTATGCGTGGAGAACCTGTACCCCCTCCCCCTCATGAAGAACATGTTAGCACACCTGACAAAAGGAAAA